CCCCCCCCATACACGCCCACAGACACACGCGAACTAACACAAACAAACTCTTACTCATTAATTTTGCAAAACATCAAGGTCAAAACCAAAATCAAAACAAACAACAACAAAATGTAATCAAATTAAAGGGAGGGAACTTTCCCCTTCACACTCACCGTCTGTGAAAGAGTTGTTCCCCGTGTCCACCAATCCCCACGTCGTGACGTCATTGGCGCTGTACTCCTCTGAATAATTATAATTCATCATGGTCAACTCGTCTCCTGCTCCTCCTCCTGTTGCCATCTGCAGCGTCCCCTGGTGGTGTGACGTAAGCAGGTCCACGGCTGTGTGGTTGACCATGCAGACGACACCCATGCTCAGGTTGATCCTCTGGAGGAAGAAGTTGCCGTACCCGAAGGAGGCTAGTAGGGCGAGCATGAAGCGGGTGGAGCGCCACCACGGGGGGCCTGGGGACACAGACATGGTTGAACACTTGGTGTGAATTTAATTTGTTTGTTAATTAATGTATTTATTTGTTCATTTATTTATCTATTTATCTATTTATTTATTTATTCTGATTAAAATCTTTTTAAAAATTATTATAATTTTTGAATTTTTTTTTTTTTTTTTTTTTTTTGGGGGGGGGGTGGAGTTAAGTACTGTTGGGTTTCTAATACGGGGTGCCCATTGGGGGGTCGGATCGGGTCGGTTTACTAGCCAGATTGAGGGTCCAAAGCAGCTATCGTGGGACAAGCCGATCGCCCCCGACTTGTCGCCTCCTAAAAAACAAACACGTTTGTTTTCAGGCGACCAGTAGGGCGATCATCCCGACCCAACCTGACCCGACCCAATCCCATCCGCCATGGGCACCCCGTCCAAGGCACAACATCTGAGGTCAAAAGGTGGCAGGGGCAGTGAGTCTAGAGTACACGACGTATCAGCCCCGCACTGTGGCAGAGGCGTACCGCACAATACAGGTAGAGGCGACCAACAACCCATGTGTGCACCACACAAAGAAGAAAATTACATGTATGCACTAATATTGCAAGATAAGTACTATGGAAGTAAAAGAATCATTCATGTATAGAAAATTCCATTACTTGTATATTGCTCTTAAATGTTCAAAATGTGGCAAACTTTTCTCTGTCAGAATTGGTCTCATCGACGACAACACAAGCCACAATCATCTTAACCTTTAATTCTTTTAATTCTTCTATTTCACTTAAGAAACGTTCTTCTCTGCGGACGTGTTGGTTAGTCACTGACGGGCGAGCTTTTATTATTAAATCTATTATAAGAGGCAATTTCACAAGTTGCACACAAAAATATTACCGCAGGGATTATAAATTTCTACGGCTGAAGCAATGTCGAAAAACATTCATTGAGATCTCAAAAACATCATACTCATATTTCGATACTTTGAACTAAGTAACACAGAGCTTCAAAAAGGCAAAGCGTAGGCCTAGTTAATATCTTACGGGAAAACAAGGGACAGGAAATTAAACACATTAATTGGAATGACCATGGTGGGTGGAGGAAATTATGTTCTTTATAAAGAAAACATACTCGAAACGATTAGTTATATGATGTTACAAACAAACCCATTAATCAGGCAGCAACAATGACTATTTTCAGGAGTATTCTTCCTCCTTGGAGGAAAGATATTCATGTCAGCCTATTATCATCATCATCATCTTCATCATCATCATCATCATCAAGTGCCAGATCTGCGGAAGACATCGGTGGTCATGGTTCTCCATTAACATTCTTTTGCTCGGAGGCTCTTAAAAAGCTATATTATCCTGATCTTTCCCTGTTACCCATCTGTTTCGATTCTCTTTCTCTAAATAGGTAAGTAGGTTGCTCTGGGCCTATCCCTGCCTCGTTTGCCTTCAATTTTGCCAGTGAGGATCCGAGAGCTATAAGATGTTCGGGGGCTCTCGTGGCCTAGAGGTTAAGGTGTTGGCCTCTCATTCAAAGGTCCCGGGTTCGAATCCGGGTAGCGACCGAAAAATTTTCTACTCTAAAATTGTCTCCTTTTACCTCCTTTCCTGCTCTCTAGCAATGTTCTGTTGTCTGCTTTCGTTTCCACTTTCTGCCCCCACCACCTCACCTCCTTTGCCCCCTCCTCTGGGCTCCTGACTCTTTCTGCAGCCTTTCTACTGGTACTCCTTGGCTCCTCCTTACTGCTGTCTTTCTGCCACACCCCTGATCTTCTGGTAGGAAAGATCTACACCTAGCCTTCTCGGACAAGGGCGAAAAATCTCGGAGGGCCCGTGTGCAAGCTGCGCACATTAAAGATCCCTTGGTGGTCTAAAATCGATAAGAGTAGGCTTCGGCCGGCACGCGGGCAAAATTCAAAATTTCCTACCACCTGCGCATATGACCTATGCAGTTGCGAGCGCCGTAAAACACTTTACAAAAACAAAAAAACAAATAAGATGTTCGAGACCTTTAATAGCTCAATGTCTATTCAGGTGTTCCAAAAATTGCATTCGTCTTTTTCTGATTGTTTTTACCAGTAAGCGTCCCACGTGGGCTTCATCAAGTACTACCTCATTTGAAATATACGTATTATAACATATTATAATATAATATATGCACCGGGTGTTCCTGCCCTGGGGGGTCACAGGAGGGAGGTATATGTGTAATTGGGTCTCTCAAGCCTGACTTTTCCACGGTCTGACCTATGACATTCACTAGCGATAAACTAACGAGGTAAATGACAGCATTACGGAATAATTTCCGCAACAATTTAACGGCTACATTCCGAACAACCCATACCACTTTCAGCCAGTTCATTAACCCGTTTCTTTACTTAATAAGAACTGCTTATTATTTCGCTTAGATTTTAGTTTTAGTAAGAATTTATGATGTCAATCATCACATCCAGCCAGGGGCGAAAGCTGACTTGTTTGACAGGGTAATCAAAGTGAAATGGAACCAGATATGACCTGGAGATATCACACTCACACAAGTCA